GAGCAGATTTTAGCCACCGGTTAAATTTGCTGGGTGAACATAGCCATGGTGGGTATGGCCTACTCAGCCTCCTGCACCACCGTGGGGAAGGAGCATTTTCACCCTCCCCAGGCTCCGAAGGCTTTTATCGAGCCTCTGGGAGGGTGAAAATGCTCTTCCTTGGGGGTTCCACCACAAATGCGCAAATGACAAAAGCGCGCTTGACTAAACCGCGGTGACAAAACTGCGCCGACAAAACCGCACCGCACTTCGGAGTATAAGACACCGACGAATGAGCGTTGAAGCGCGCCGACAACAGCGCGCCGACAGAAGCGTGCTGTAACCCTAACCCTTACCTTAACTGAAATCGCGCTTCTGTCGGTGCGCTGTTGTCGGTGCACTGTTGTTGGCGCGCTTTTGACATCGCGGTTTTAGCGCCGCGATTTTGTCGGTGCGATTTTGTCGTTCGCGCATTTGTCGGGTCACGTTCCTTGGGTTCCAGAGGCTCTCCGGAAGCCAGAAATAGACCCATTTCTGGACCTCCAGAACCTGTGGAAATTCCGATTTTTCGCCTTCTGCCCTCCCAGAACATTCAAAACGGGGCACGTGGACACTCCTGGGAGGGGTGGCCAGCCAGTCCTTGCAACTACCGGTTCGGCAAACCAGATGTAAAATTAGCATCCAGTTTGCCTGAACCAGTCCGAACTGGCTGCATCCCAGCCCTGCATGTGACTCAACCCCATGTTTATGCACCTTCAGGAGACCAAGACGTGGTTGAACAGCCAACGTCTCAACTCTACCTCCTCCTTCATGCCTCCTCCTTCTCCTCTTCTTCATTCCTCCATCATTCCTTCTCTTTCATTCCTCTTCCTCATCCATTCTTCTCCTCTTTTTCTTCCTTCCCCTCCCCTCCTCTGCAACGCCTCCCTCCCTCCTTCCCTTCTGCAGCGGTCATCATGTGCATGCACTCCGTCCTTTTGGGTGGGGTGGAGCAGCGCCTCCTCCTGGAGAAGGCCGAAGAGATGGTGATGACCCGAGGAAGCTACATTTTCATCCCCTACGATGTCCTGACCTACAGCCTGCCCTACCAGGGGGAGATCTACGCAGCGCTGGAGGACAACCTCAAGCTGCGCCGGGCGTACGATGCCGTGCTCACCGTCACCATTGACTCTCCAGAATATTCCTTCCGTCAGGCTTTTGAAGAGGCGCAGGAGAAGAAAGAGATTCCGGGACAACTCGACGTGGAGCAGGTGCCCGACTGACCGGGGGGGGGGGAAGGAAAGTGGGAACGGGGTTGGCGGGAATCTGGATCTTACAGGTAGTCCTCCAAGGTCCCTTCCAGCTCTATTCTGATTCTAAAATGGTGTAGGCTCTCCTTCTTGAGCAAGGGGTGGACTAGAAGACCTCCAAGGTCCCCTCCAGCTCTATTCTGATCGATTGATTGACTATTACAGGGATCGGCAACCTTAAACACTCATAGAGCCACAAAGGTCCTAACCGGATGCCCCCTGTTCAATTCCGGGGCTGACCAGAAGTCCGGTTCCCCATAGAGTTTCCTTCTAGCACGACGTCCATTTCCTCTCTACCTGTCCTAACCGAAAGCTTATCAATTGTGGAGCTGACTGGCGACAGGGAGCTGCAGCAGAGGGATGAAAGAGCCACATGCAGCTCCAGAGCCGCAGGTGGCTGATGCCTGCACTATTTCAACAGAAGTAAACAAGGGAGATTTTCAGCCTGTGCAGATAGTCCACAAGCTGGCCACGCCCACCCAGTTGGCCATGCCCAATCAGCTACCCCCAGTGAGTTCAGTTCAGTGACCATTCAAAGTTACAACGGCAGGGGGAAAAGCGACTTATGACTGTTTTCACACTTGCGACCGTTGATGTATCCCTGTGGTCACGTGATCAAAATCCAGACGCTTGGCAACTGGTTCATACTTATGACGGTTGCAGTGTCCCCTTTTGTGACTTTCTGATCAGCAAAATCAATGGGGAAGACAGATTCACTTAACAACCGGGTTACTAACTTAACAACCGCATTGATTCCCTTAATAGCTGTAGGAAGAAAGGTCATACAATGGGGCAAGATTCATTTCACAGCCGTCTCGCTTAGCGACAAAAATGGGGGTCTCTGTGGTAAGTCTAAAGGCTAAAACATATAATGACGGTTGCAGGAACTGGGCCTGGCTAGTCTAGTGAAGAGAAGGACCAGGGGAGACATGAGGACAGCCTTCCAATATTTGAGGGGCTGCCCCAAAGAGGAGGGGTCAAGATATTCTCCAAAGCACCTGAAGGCCAGACCAGGAACAATGGGATGGATCCTGACCAAGGACAGATTCAACCTGGAAATAAGGAGGAATGTTCTAACAGTGAGAACAATCAACCCAAGGAACAGAAGTTGCTTTTGGAAGTTGTGGGAGCTTCATCACTGGAGGCTTTCAAGAAGAGACTGGATGGTCATCTTGTCAGAAATGGTGTAGGGTCACCTGCTTGGGTGGGTCGGGGTTCATCTAGATGACCACTAGATGACCTACAAGGTCCCCTCCAAGTTAATCTGTATAAATCTCTAACTCGAGAACTATCGGTAGCAGGGATGTCAAACTTAATTTCATTGAGGGCCACATCAGAGCTGTGGTTGACCTTGGGGTCTGGGTGGGTGTGGCCAGTTTGACACCACTCACTGGGCATAGCTGATTGGGCATGGCCAACTGGGTGGGCGTGGCCAGCTTGACGCCACTCACTGTGTGTAGCTGACTGGGCATGGCCAACTGGGTGGGCATGGCCAGCTTGACGCCACTCACTGTGTGTAGCTGACTGGGCATGGTCAACTGGGTGGGCGTGGCCAGCTTGACACCACTCACTGCGTGTATCTGACTGGGCATGGTCAACTGGGTGGATGTGGCCAGCTTGACACCACTCACTGCGTGTAGCTGACTGGGTATGGCCAAATGGGTGGGTGTGGCCAGCTTGACACCACTCCCCAAACTGCTGGCATGTTTCCTCTTCGCATTGGGTAGACTAGGCCAAAGCAATGTGGGCCAGCTCCTTACGTTTTGTAGGATGTGACCCATAGGCCTTGTGTTTGTCCCCCCTGGTGTGTAGTCTTGGGAGTGTGCCTTCCAAACTACCTCTGAGTCCTGTGGAGCGTCCAGACACAAGGTCCCCCCCTACCCAAATGGCACCTCTACACTTACAAGAGTGTTGGAAACCAAACAAATCCTTCTTTGGTGTCATTTGTACACAAAAGTACAATGTTCAGTCTTGGCTTAGTTCTTTTTCCTTCTCCTTTCAGGCCCATCCTTTGTTCGGCACCATTTTTAACTCCATCTACTTCCTGGCAAAGGCCGTGGAAAACACTCGGCTGTCCGGAAAGAGGGTGGTGGGAACAACCATTGCTGAGCATGCCAAGGACTTCGAGCTGGAAGGCTTTAGCCAGCCGGTGTCCGCCGACGAAAAGGGAGTCGCCGAAGTCCCATACATCGTCTTGGACACGGACGGAAGAGGCAGCCGTCTTCGCCCCGTGTACAAAGTAGACCTGTCTTCTGGCCTCCTGCGTTTCATAGGACGGGCCGTCCACTGGCCTGACAATACCAAGCCGGCTTCAGATTCCAGTTGTTGGTTCAACCGTGGCATCATTTGTACCGGGGGTAAGTGTGGAAGCGAAGTAAGATGGATTAGATCAGAGGTACGCAATGGCTCAGTGGCTAAGACCCTGAGCTTGTCGATCAGAAAGGTCGGCAGTTCAGCGATTCGAATCCCTACCGCCGCGCCCTGGAGTGAGCTCCCGTGACTTGTCCCAGCTTCTGCCAACCTAGCAGTTCGAAAGCTCGTAAAAAATGCGAGTAGAAAAATAGGAGCCACCTTTGGTGGGAAGGTAACAGCGTCCCGTGCGCCTTCGGCATTGAGTCATGCTGGCCACATGACCACAGAGACGTCTTCGGACAGCGCTGGCTCTTCTGCTTTGAAACGGAGGTTCACTGCCTTCTAGAGTCGGGAACGATTAGCACATATGTGCAAGGGGAACCTTACTTAGATCAGGGGTATCAAGCAGGATTTCGCTGAGGGCATTGTAGATGTTTTCCGTGGCTCATGGGCTTTGAGTTTGACACCCCTGGGGCAGATTACAGATGGCATCTGCCACCTGCTGGACTAGCTAAACTCTTTAAAAACATGTCTAGCAATTCATGGAAATGTAACCCCAAAACGGGCACATTTTATCATTTGTGGTGGAATTTGTGTCAAAGCCAAAAAAACAATTTGGGCAAAGATACACGGGTGGTTGGAAAAGATGATAGGGAACCCGAAATTGTTTTTTTATTATATGCCTTTAATGTTACACGTCTTAACAACAGTGAGGATCATTTTCGCACAATGCTGGGAAAAATGAAGATATATGTTGTGAGATGAAGAAATAGTCAAAAAGATACTAGATTGTGCAGAAATGGATAGATTGACGTTGAAAATTAAACAGGATGTGGAATACTATCAAGTTGTGGGTGCTCCATCACCGGAACTCTTTAAGACGAGATTAGAAAGCCGTTTGTCCAGAAGTGTAAGGTAGGGTCCCCTACCTGATTAAGGGGTTGGATTAGACGATCTCCAAGGTCCGCTCCAGATCTTATTCTATGTAAGTTCTGTGTGATTTTCCCCCTTCCCCACGAACGTCATTAGCCTTATCGTTAGCCTCTTCACAAGTAAAATCTGCCAGTTTGGGAAGATTCCTGTAAAATAGGTTTNGAGGACTGTGGGGTCCTGGGTGCTCTCTGAGCTGGGTGGTTTTCTTGCAGATGTTTCATGACCCAACTTGGTAACTTCATCAGTGCTAGAAAGGAGTGGGGTTTGCAGAGTAGGGAAGGGAAGGAGGAGGAGGAACAGGAGGAGGAACAGGAGGAGGAGGAGGAAGATGATGGGGTCTTTGGTGCCAATCCAGTAGTTGTGAAGCATGGGTGTGTGGGGGGGTGACCCCGTCCCCCAAGGAAGCCCTGACCTGATAGGACTACCCCAAAGGAAAAACCGCACATGCGTGTGTGCTGCTCAGAACACGCATTTTTTCCTCTGCGGCGCAGCTCTGGCTCAGCCTCCACGGTGGACTCCCGGGTCACACGACCGGTTGAGTGGCCCCTCTCTTCAAAGGGCCGAATTAAAGGAAGAGACAAAGCGGGAGGGGAGAGCTGGAGTCCAGGGCTGTCAATCACGATTTCATGGAGGGCGTGGCCATGGTGGGTGTGGCCATGGAGGGGGTGACAGGGGACTCATGTTTGGGGGGGGGATTTGTGGTGGCCAAATGCTAAGGCAGGAGTTCCCTCAGACTCTCCCTCCCTCCCTCCTTCCTTCCTTCCCTCTTCAATCTCCTTTCTTCTTCCTTCCTTCCTCCCACCTTCCCTTATCTCCTTCCTTCCTTCCCTTCTTTTTCCTTCCTTCCTTCCTTCCCTCTTCAATCTCCTCCCTCCATCCCTTTATTTTCCTCTCTCCCTCTCTTCCTGCCCCTCGCTCCCTTATCACCTTCGTTCCATCAATCTATCTGTCTTTCCTTCCTTCCTTCCTTCCTTCCTTCCTTCCTTCCTTCCTTCCTTCCTTCCTTCCTTCATTTTCCTCCCTCTCTCCATCCCCCTCCCTCCATTATCTTCTTCCTTCCTTCCTTCCTTCTTTTTTCTTCTCTTTCTTTCTTTCTTTCTTTCTTTCTTTCTTTCTTTCTTTCTTTCTTTCCTTCCTTCTTCTTCCTCCCCCTTCAATCCTCTTCTTTCCTCCCTTCTTCCCTTCCTTTTCCTCCCTCCTTTCCTCCCCATCACTCCCTTATCTTCTTCCTTCTTTCCTTCCTTTTCCTCCCTCCCTCCTTCCTTTCCTTCTTTTTCCTTCCCTCTTCATTCTCCTTTCTTCTTCTTCCTCCCTCCCTTCTTTTTCTTCTTTTTCCTTCCCTCTATTTTCTCCTCCCCTCCCTCCCTTATCTCCTCCTTCCCTCCCTCTCTTCTTTTTCTTCTTTTTCCTTCCCTCTTCATTCTCCTTTCTTCTTTCTTCCCCCGTTCCTTATTTTTCCTTCCTTGCCCTCTTCCCCTCTTTGTCTTTCCTTTTCTCCTTTCCCTTTCCCTCCTAAATCTTCTTGGAAGCACAAATATGAAGGGGGAAATGCTTCTCCTTTTGTTTCAAGTTTCCTTTGGTAGGCCTCTGCTAGCAAAAACGGACCCTGGGAGGGGGGGAACACCACACGTACCCCCCCTCCCGTGCCCCGTATTTGGGGTGAGGGTTATGCCTATTACGGAGTTCATGCTACAGTTTGGATACCTTCTCATCTACCAATGAGTGTCATCATTGAGATGGTGGGTCGCTGCAATTTTATTTGCAGATTTGACATGTTTTCGTTCTCTCCGTCTTCCCGCCCGTAAAATCCTCTTTTCCAAGATAATAAAACGAGTTTGCAAGTGTAGGAAAAAAAAGTCTGAATTCTCCCCTCTCTCTTTTTTTTTTAAAAAAAAGTTTTGTTTTTCTTTTTCATTTATACATTCACAAGTGCACATTCTCAGAAGTACTCTTAATGTTAAAGTAGTAAAGGGAAATAGGGAAAAAAAGATCCCTTCACCTCAAGCGGAAAAAATGGAAGCGTTGCAATCACTCAATCCACAAAAGATTACAGGGAAGAGCAAAAAACTTTCTAAGGCAATCCAATAGGGATTAAATACGGTGCTTTGTTCTTGCTTAATGTTCTAATTAAACTTAAGAAAAGAGTTTCTTACGGCAATCTTCTAAAAGAAAAGAAAAAAAACCTCACCAGGTAGAAACCCTTTCATTTCTCTCTTCCTGGAGCCATCTCCAACTATGTCAGCCGGGGGGAGCTGCCTGTTTGCCGCCGGTTGGAAGCGCTTCCCTTGGGTCGATCAGGGACTTTGCGATGTCCCCGCGACCAACAAGGCCCCGCGACCAACAAGGTCTTGTCTTCCCGGTCACCGTCTCTTCGGGATGGTTTAGGTCCTGCTGGACCGTCCAGGGGCAAAAGTGTCATCGGCGGATTTGGACAGTCGAATCCGCACAATGTAACGTTGCGACGTTGGCTCCTCCTTTCAGAAGTACTCTTAATGTTGATGTACTAACTTTTAACATTGATCCCAATTCATTTAAAGATTTCAAAGTATAATCGGGATCGTTTTCATGTCATCCCGTACATCCATCTTATTTTACAACTCTACTACTACTACCATCCTCCCAACCTGCCTTCTCTTCTTTCTTTCCTCCTCTCCCTCCTCTTTTCTTCTTCCCCTCCCTCTCCCCCACTCATCTTTCTCTTCCTGCCCTCTCTGCTGCTCTTACGAGCCCTCCCTTACTTCCTTTCATTTCCCCTTTATTTCCCTCTCCTTTCTTCCGTTGTTGTCTTTACTTACGTTCTTCTTCACTCTGAGGGATTTTCGGGGTGGAATTCAAGCAAACCCAGTTCCATATTTTATTTTCATTGTAGTAGTTCCAGATATATCATCTTTTGGAGATAGATTTGTATGGGAATACTTCTCTGTTTTTCCCTTCCCCATCCCTTCGTTTAATAGTGTGTCATGTGATAATCTTTTATCCATATTCTCTTCTCTTTCTTTTCTTTTCCTCTTTCATTCTTCCCTCCCTCCCTTATCTTCTTCCTTCTTTTTCTTTCCCTCTTCCATCTCCTTCTCCCTCCCTCCCTTGTTTTCTTCCTCCCTCCCTTATCTTGCTTCCTTCCCTCCTTCCCTCCCTACCCCTCCTTCATTTGTTCGTTCATTTGTTCCTCCCTCCTTCCCTCCCTTGTTTCCTTTACCTCCCTCTCTCCCACTCCCTTATCTTCTTCCTCCCTCCCTTATCTTCTTCCTTCCTTCCNGGGAAAGGTGGACCTCGGTCCAAAGAACATGAGTTTCTTCTTTCTCCTCCTCCTTCTAGGTGTGGGTGGCGGCTTTGTTTTCTTCCTCTTCCTCCTTGTCCTTCTCTTGTTCTTGTGTGGATCCGTTGTGGCTTACTATCTTCGGTGAGTTTCACGTGATTCCCTCTTACGATTCTCCCCTCCAGAAAGGCGATTGGGAGTGGCGTGGGGGGACGGTGCTTCAGTTACGGGTGACCAGTTACGGGTTCACCTCTGATATTTTTCATTGCTCGCCTCGCTTCTTGCAGACGCCGCTTTCTGCATGACCAGCTCTCTGAAGGACCCAACAAGATTGTCCTCACCGCCGACGACCTGACCTTCATCGACTTCCCAAGCAGTATAAAGGTAAGCCAGGTTTGACGCGATAAAAAGGAGGAGGACACAACCCCATGGAGATAGGAAAGGTGATAGTTGAGTGAAGCACTCCAAAATCAGAGGCCGGGCCGAGTGAATAGTGACTGTCTCAAATCCAATCAAGAAAAGAGGTTGGGTCAAAAGACCACTGTCACTGGTTTTGCAATGCTGGGAGAGATGGCCAACTTTGGGACCATTAAGATGTAGATATATCTACCCAAGGTTACATCCACCCGTCTTGTTCTTTGGGAACATCAAGATGTAGAGATAACTACCCAAGATTAGGTCCATCTTTCTTCTTCTTTGGAACCATCGCAGATGTATCTACCCAAGGTTAGGTCTATCTTTTTTCTTCATTGGGAACATGAAGATGTAGATGTATCTACCCAAGGTTAAGTCCACCTCCCTTGTTCTTTGGGACAATCAAGATGTAGCTGTATCTACCCAACATTAGGTTCACCTCTTTTGTTCTCTGGGAACATCAAAATGTAGATGTATCTACCCAAGGTTACGTCCACCTTTCTTGTTTTTGGGGACAATCAAATGTAGATGTATCTACCCAAGGTAGGTCCACCTCTCTTGTTCTTTGGGACCATCAAGATGTAGAGATATCTACCCAAGGTTAGATCCACCTTTCAACGGTTGCTCAATAACATTGTTTCAGAGCATTCTTTAGTTTACAGTGACCTGTCTTGTTCCTCCCTAGAAGTTGAATGACAGTCCTGGAGGAAATGGCTCGGAGAAGAAAAGTTTGAAAAATGGGGCGGAGGAGGAAAAGAACGTAGCCGTGGTGGAGGTGAAGTCATATTCCTTCCTGCATAGTCTCAAATACTTCACCCATCCCTCTCTCTCTCTCTCTCTCTCTCTCTCTCTCTATCTATCTATCTATCTATCTATCTATCTATCTATCTCCATCTCTCTCTCTCTCTCTCTCTCTCTCTCTCTATCTATCTATCTATCTATCTATCTATCTATCTATCTCCATATCTATCTATCTATCTATCTCTCTCTCTCTATCTATCTATCTATCTATCTATCT